TAGTAATAAACTAATAATTATTTTTTATTTATTAATATTAATATTTATTTATAATTAATATTAATGAGGGTTATAATTGAAAAAATTGACAAAAAACTTCTCATATATGTCCATCCAAACATATACTAAATAAGTTAGCTTATATTTGCTAAACATTGCCTTAATACATAATTAAATTATAACAAAAAGATGTTTGATTATTGACGAAAATGCCCAAAATTTTAATTTGATTATTGATCCAATATATACAATTTCAATCTGATTATTGACGAATTGTCTAAGTTTGGAACTAATAATTGATCATAATACATATGTATTATTTTTTGTTCTTGAAGATCCATGTCGAAGACGGATTTTTTTTATCTCTTGTCTTTGATACTCAAACAGTAATAATCACTTAGTAATAGGCAAGTTAAGGTGTATATTTTAGGCTGTGTAACTAGCTCATTTTTTGAGTTTATTAAAAGTTTTATTTGGATGGTAGGGATCATAATCAAATCAAAACAAATACTTAAAGAACATTAGCTCTAAATTCAATTCGCTCTGTTCCTATAATTTGATGCATATTGATATCCTTTTTTATAATATTGGTTGTCTATTTTATCTTTTAAGTCCTTTAGATAAGGTATATATGTTAATTGTTAAGCCTAATTGATGGCATTTATCTCACAAATGTTGTCATTAGAAGAGGAACACCATTCCCTTTTCACTTTTTTTTCTTACCCTCTTTAGAACCAACTATGTGTCAAACTTGCAGGTCTGTTTGTTTGGTCTGTTTTGGTTTATCAATGGGAAAAGGGTTAGCCTTATACAACTGTATTCCATTATATTGTTCATTTAAGGAGGAATCTTTGATGGCTTTGGTTAAGTATAATTAGAGGTGTAATAGACTATTTTGGTCAAATGATTCTTCTTTAAACCGAATGTCACTTCTACTTTGAAGCTTAAATACTTAGATGTGGATAATACATGTTACATTTTCTAATACATACCCTTTTTTTTTCTTCTAAATCCCTAGAAGTGGGACACTAAAACGATAGGGAACCAATCATTTGGAAATCAAAATACTTGATTTGGTAGTAGTTAATTTATTTGTTGTCGCGTATGCCTGCTTTAAACACGTAAATATGTCTCAGTGTGATAATCTGGTCCTGGTTATGCACCTCGGGTAATTGTTATGTGATTATTTGATTATGTGATTGCGTGAATATGTGATTAATTTGCTATAATTGAACATGTGGATATATTTATGCCTGGGGAGGTATATATGTGCATATTTTTATATGTGTATGCATGCATGGAGGATGTGTACGTATTATATTGTATGCCTGTGTTTATATGTATCATGCATAAGTTGTGAAAAGAAAAATATGCATGTGTGTAGGTGCATGGGTTGAGAAGAAAAAGATTTATTATTTAAATTGTTTCTTTTTCACTGCTTTCCTCAAAACGAAGGTACAATAAAGGAAATATTTTAGAAAGAAAACCTTTCTGCCATTTTTGGAAAGATTTGAAAGAAAGTTAAGCATATGTGTATTGTTTGCCAAGTTTGGAAGTGGGATTGGGATCAAAGTAGAAGCAAATTTAAAGTGTTATTTCTTCTTCTTTCAAATTCAAAATCTTGCATAGAGTTGAGTCTTTTAACAAACAGACTATGAATTTACTTATACTGGTTATTATGGTTTTAAGAATCTGCTGGTGTTTAGTTTGAATGTATGAATAATCTTGTTGAGTTGCATGGTCCGATAAGGACCTGCGATTGGATAGTGTATTGTCCGATGAGGGATCCTTACCGGCTATGCCTTGACCGATGAGGCGTTTGTTGATTTTGTGAATAGACCGATGAGGTCTTTATCGGATGAAGTATTGTCCAGTAATGATCTTTATCGAATAGGGGTATCTGGTTATACATTTTTATCGCTCAAGTGTTTAATGGTTTAGTGTTTAAGACTCTTAAGTGTTGACTGGGTTAGAGTTGTTATCGTGCTTGCCTTGTCCGGTGAGGATGCTTATTGGACAAAGCTTTAACCGGTTTTAATATTTATCTTTTAAGTGTTGACCAGTGAGGTAATTAATCGGACAAAAGTGTTGACCGGTGAGGTAGTTAACCGGACAAGAGTGTTGACCGATGAAGTAGTTAACCGGACAAGAGCGTTGACGGTGAGAATGTTTCCGGACAGAGTATTGACCGGTGGGGACTGTTACAGGACAAAGTGTGACCGGTGAGTGTGTTAATCTCTCCAAGTGTTTTCCGAATTGTAGTGTTGTCCGATGAGGAGGGGTTATCGGCCATAGTGTTGGCTGATGAGGGGCAGTTATCGCCCAAGTCTTGTGAAATAAAAACAATGGTTTTCACAAATGTTGTTTAACAGTTTTAAACTGTTTTATGTTGAGAAAGGGTATTTTTGTATCTTTCAAATGTGGTTTGTAAATTGAGAAAAGATACTATTGTTTTCTTTTAAAACGGTTGTGATGTAAAGTCTGTTTTGAAAGAAATACTGAGTTGAGATCAAAAAGTGAATTTAAGAACTATCAGAATTTTTGAGATAAAGTTTCTAATATGAAACTATTTTGAAGCCATTATAAACTACAAATTTATCTATAGATTTGAAGTGGAAACAAGGGTGGCATATCAGGGAGAGGTGTACCATGGGATAAGGGTGACATATCAAGGAGAGGTGTACATTTGGATAAATGTGGCAATTATGTGTGTGGTTATTATTATAGATCTTTGTTGTCATATGCATAAGATGCGATATTCTGAGTCAACATTTCTTTGTGACATGAAGACTTGAAAATATTGCTCTTATTGAAATGATAACAACGGATGTTATTGAAAAGGGTAAAATGACTTATAGTCAGAGGCATTAATTCCCCGTGTTTTCAAATGATTTTGAGATATCATGTTTTGAGTATTCCAAAGAGTTGTGATTTGAAATAAAACCCGGAGGGTCGTTGGTTATTCTTTAGTCAGTTTTCATTCAAATATAAACCTGGTTAAATCTTAAAAGTTTTTGATAATAACCAAGAACTCTGGTGATTGTTAATTATTGTACTCTTTTTATGATCATGGAGGTTGAGACCATAAGCTTTGATCAGTTGTGACTTGTGAGCTTGAGAGTTGTATTTCAGATGTTTGTGAGGACCTGAGTGGTTAATCTTCTTATGTGGTAGAATCGTTTATAACTTGCAGTTTTGTTTTACTGAAGTTATATTTGATATAAAGTGGTTGGATATTCAAATGTGAATTTTAAACAGGTTTTGGTGATCTTCACACTGCAATTGCAAAGAAAGGGTTATCTCACTAGACCTCCTGATTTAACCTTCATTTTATGTTTAAAATATGCATTGCAGGTTTGGCTGGGTCTCGGGATAATAAAGGGAAGGGAAAAATATGATTATTTTCCTATTATGCTTATCTGCTATTTTGAAGATCAACTTGTTCATTGATGTATTTTGAAGATGCATGTTGTTATGCACGAGCTTGTACAAGAACTTTATTTTGGAATTTTTGAGTTGTAAATTATGTATATAAGTTTCTTGTACTAGTGGGACATTTGTGGTGTAAATTGTATTTCTTTTATATGAAGTACATGTTATATGCAAATGTGGAAGTCTGGGGTGTTATAGAGGTGGTATCGGAGCCTGAGTTTAAGGGATTTAGGTATTCAAAGCATGACTGCTAGACTTAAACTGATATTTGCATATTAAGGGGTCCCCGAACAAAGATAGCACCATTGGGAATAAAATATGATGGGTTAAGAAGACAATATGTAAGGTAAATTTGAATTACAAATGACCAATGTAATAATGAATTTACATGTACATATATGTACTTGGATACCTTATTATATTTCGGAATGTGAATACGTGATTATTTAACAATAAATATCTACAGATGGCTAGTCGATCTAGAAGATTTGAAAGGATCACCCGCCCTAACCTCGATGATAGAGAGGATTCTTCTACAAATGCTCCGACCAGTGCTTCTGAATGTCGAGGCAGGGGAAGAAGTAGGGGTAGAGGTCGATAGAGAAGTCAAGCAAGAGGCAGACCGAGTCAATCTGAGATTCACCCAGATCAAGGTGAGTCTATTTTGGGGAATATCAATAAGGAAAAAGTACCACAACCGAAATATGTAACATGGGATGTTCTGGCTGAAGAAATGAGAAAATTGAGGGAAACTCTGAGGTTCATTATGGGATTACCGACCAAAGTTGAAACCTAATGAGTTGAAGTAAATCCTTCAGTCCCAACAACAAGTAGTAGATGAGCGACATAAAGATGTTCTTAACTTGCAAACGCCCAACATGCTCTGGCAAGAGAGACCCGGTAAAGGCTATGTGTTGGTTAAAAGAAATCGAATCCATATTTAATACCAGCAAATGCCCGAAAGAAGACAAGGTTAGATTTTTCGCCTCTATGTTGAAAT